TGAATCCTCTCTCTCTCCTTTCTAGATACCAGCGGCACTGCTTCCTACGGTCCCTGTGCCTACCACCGACCCTCCCACTGTCGCCGCCGCCGTCGCCGCCGCCGCCGCATTCAGTGGACGGAGTCTTTGCTAGCGCATGTACATAGCCTTCGTTCAAATTCGTCCCCTCCCCCCCCCGCCGCCCCTCCCCACCCATAATTATTTGTACAGTGGAACGCATGATTATCCTGCCTCCTTGTTTTTGCACTTTTGCCTAGCATTGTTCTCGTTCTAATGTTTATTCTATTTTACACAATATACCTTGTTTCTTTGACGTGCACTCCGTCTCTTTTTCGCGTCTGGATTAACTGGGCAAGACCGTATGTTGGTCATAGTTTGCGGACAGGAAGTTGAGGTCAACAGCAGATGTGTCTGCATGGGGAGAAGTCTAGCAGGTGTGGCTTGCGTGATACAGATAGGGAGGAGTATGCGGGTCAGCCAGAGAGCAGACATGTTGGTTGGTTGGTTGGTTGGTGCTGTCACTTGTGGTCGTAGGGATTGGCGGAGGCAAATGAGACGGTAGATATCCTTCGGGGGGTGGGGGGAATTTGCGTGGGGTGTCTGTGGGCAAACTGCGATCTACGAAGCGACTTGAGGGAGGGGCTGGGGGCAGGGAAGAGGCAGGTGCAACGCACCCACATAATTGGTTGGAGGCGTCAGACGGTTCTCAATAGAATGGTGGTTTGTGCTTGAACCAGTTTCTAGTGAATGAGGATTTGAGACCAGTAAAATGACTGACAATGCCAAATATCTCAACTACGCGTGCTACGCACAGACACACTTGGTGTGTTGAGGATGTGCTAGATCAACAGGGGAATTAGAGAGGGGTGCCTCAAATCCCAACAGAGTGGGATTGCTTCATTAAGAAGAAGGGGTTGCAGCCTGTCTCTCTCTCGCCAGATCGGAGTATCGACTAATCCCATCACTTGTCACTCTTCCAAGCAGCGGTATTCTGGTTGCTTGAAATTTTTCAAAGCATTTCGATTGGTTTAAAGTCTGTAATATTCAGTGAGTGTAATGCTGTCGGAATCCCCACACTGGAATTCACTCTACATTTCTTCTTCCTATCCGATCAGTCATTTTATGCGTCGATGGGCAAATATGCTGAACAGCGCTGAGACAGCCAGTTTCCCTGTGTCACACACGACGAGACCCACCACCACCATACAACACTTGGTGTTCATGCAAAGGAACAGGGCTTATGGGCCTTCACATGCGTGGCAGTGCCTAAGAAGCCACACGGAAATGCGACAAACATGAGCCCTCCAAATGATGTGAGAGACGCCAATGTCATGCCTGTGTTGTACGATGATGGACGCGTTTGGTTGCGGTGTATTTGTTGTTGGATGACGTATGGTTGGTGGTTGATTGTACTTGTAGTGGCATTGTGGCGTGCATGCGGACAAGGTCTTTGATTGAAAATGGTTTATTTTGGAACGAAATTGGTGGGGATGTGGGGGGGGGGGGCGTACCACAAAGTGCTCAATCGGAGAAAATAAAGTACAAACAGGTAGTTCGGAAAATCCGACCGCACACGATACGATGAAGAATTAGAATTGTCCGTTCTGCAATCACACATCGCCTCCCATTGCCTTTGCCGGGATTGGTTCCACCGTTACTACAACAAGTAACTAACCTAAGCGAATGAGTAATAATGGACTTGCATCATACTGCCCCTTCCTGTAGGACCGATATTCACTCGGTACTAGGTGTAAATATGTTAATTTGATCAGAATGCTGAAACCACCTTCAGCGGGGACTTCCACAGTGGGACAAATACGCGAGGGTGTAAACCCACTCAACGAAGCAGGATTAGCAACTCTGGGAAAAGGGATCGGATGGGAGTTATCAACTGGTGGGGAAGGAAGGGGATAACTCGACAGCTCCGCGGATGAGAACGCAGGTAAATCCGTAGAGGTAGGACAATCAGAGATGTCATCCAAAGGATACGGTTTAAGCCTGTCAAAGCATGCCGCAAATTTGGGACCGTCGGGATCTTCAGAGGCTGGTACGATACAGAAAGAATGAGAAGAATATTCTAAGATAACGAAATGTCATAGCCAGTACGTTGAAAATTTGTCAGATGACCCAGGTTGCAACCCCTGCCCCTGATACCCGAATACCTTGTCGTCAGGTTGGTGTGGTCCACCATGCGATGCGTACGGCGATCATAGCACTGCTTTTGTCGTTGATGGGCCGCGGAGTGTCAAGTGCGGGCAAGTTCATCTGACCAGTAGAGACTACCTCCGAGATTCCGTACGAATGTACTCGGATGAGCTTGCGATGAAACCGGAACGGGACAGGAAGTGTCCAGTTGAAGGCGGAACTCAGGGCCGCCGTCTATAAGGGCAAGCGGTGTATGGCTCGTTAACGAGTACGTTACAGATGGATAGGCAAGAATGCACTGAGGCAGAAGAGCAGCATCCGTGGTGGAGGCGGGACAACTAGTTACAAAAGTTTGAATTAACACCTTGAGTGTCCTATTCGTTCGTCAATATCGCACCCCTCCCCCATTTCCTTGAGAACGCCAACGGGTGGAGCGAGATTTACAAATATGAAGGTGTTCGCAAGCGCGACTCGAAATTAGCACCACGGTCTGAATGAAGTTGCTCGGACACAACATGTCCAAATATGACCTTGGCTACCGTAATGGTGTCGGCCTCTGTGAGGGCACGGCCTCGTACCACTTGGTGAAAAGTTCTACTTAGACAAGTATATGCCGGTTTCGGGGGAGTGTGAATGGGGCACGGGACCCATTAAGTCGACACCGACAATTTCGTTCCTGTGGCCTGCCAGAGTGGTCTGTAGTGGTGTGAGTTGTACTGTTTTGAAAATATTGACATCCACACATACGGCACAGGTGTTGCAAATGTCCTGGATGACCAGACGTTGCTTTGGCCAGCAAAAGCGCTTCCGCGTGGCTGTGTCTGTGTGAGACTGACCAGCATGACTCAGATCACTATAGAGACAGGAGAATGTGAGATGGATCACATCATGAGGTTAGACCAGACGAGATGAATCGGCAGGAGAATATTGAAGGAATAGCACGTCGTCGCAAAAACGAAAGCTGTTTCACGCCGACCAACGACACCGAGTTTCCCAGGCGGTTTCAAAGCCCTGCGACGAATGTGATCATGGATAATCGGTACGTACAGGAGTCGGCGGCTTGAGTTGACGACCATCGCAAGTGATCAGGAGCGCAAATCGTAATGGCAGTTGCCGATGCATGCGTATGTCGCTGCGGTGGCGTCTTTGCCTGGCAGGACAAAGCGTCCGCCTTCTGATGTTCCTAAGCGACACGATGGACGACAGTGTTTGAATGCTCAAGAGGATCTGTCTGCCAGTGAGCGAGCGAGTTTACTAGCCGGATCCCTTAACCACCGCAGCGCCTGTTTATCGGTGAGGTGTTGCGCCTGGAATCGGTTCCGGCAGTACCAGTCACCCTAACTTTGGTCTCCCTAATTCTGTCTTGTCAACGGGTTAGGGTGGAGAGAAGGAGAGTGTGTGGTAGATGATACTCAAGTCTGCATTAACTATAAGCGAATTCACGCACACTCCCAATGTTGTGGATCAAACAGTGCAAATCGTCGGTGGCGTCGATCGAGGATTCGGTTGTTGTAATTATGTTGGCGTTATGTAACACTGACGGTAGCTTTGGTGGTGGTGGTGGTGGTGGTGGTGGTGGTGGTGTGGTTGTGGGGTTTTTATTTTTGCCGAAGCAGGTGGTCGTGGTAGACTGTCAGTGCCCAAGGGACGCTATAATAAACCTATTTTATTCTATTCTATTCTGGTACCTATGTACGCATTATGGTAAACAGTAATCCCAATATACACTACAATCTGCCTGGCGGCATTCACTTTCGTGTTGTTTGACCTTGGCCTGACGCTAAAGGCGTCTGCACATCGGGTAATGCAGGTTCCATTTCCATCCCTCATCCTCTCTGCCCTCGTTCCTCTCTTCCTTACATCCACACTCAATCAATCTCGCGCACACGTTAAAGCGGACTCGGCTGGGCAGTTGCTCGCATGGAACTCCGCATCAGCACAGTCGTGACGAGTCTCCGTCTGGTACGCCGCTGGTCAGCCGGTCGATTGAGACTTCACATCTGCATCGTCAAGACGAGGTTCCGTCTGGAGCACCGTAGGAGGCCTCGAGCTTATGGCGATGTCGAGCTTTTGGCAAAATCGAGTCGTTCTTCCACTACAACAAAATTCGTGGCCCATAGGGCAGTGCGGGCGTGCCGGCACATAATGGCAGCCCCATTTAAGGGGGGCACTGCTCGCCCAAACGCGAAGGGGCTAGAAATTGTGCCCTGAAGATTGCTGAGGAGCCAGGTCGTCTGCAGGCTGACCGTGGTCGCAGACGCTAAACTCACGGTCGAAACCACCATAATGGAAACAATAACGACAACATCAATACGCTTTCTCCTCCTCCTCCTCCTCCTCCTCATCCTCCTCCTATTCTTCCTCCTCCTCCTAACTATTCTTTCATTTCTTCTCCTTGTTCTTCTTCTTCTTCTTCCTATTCTTCTTCTTCCTCTTCTTCTTCTCCAACGTCCCGCTGATCTACTCGCCACATTGACATGGTGAGTACACTCAATCTGGCAGCCCAGTTTTAAACCATCCGAGGAGCAACTGACCGGAACGGAGAACGGCGCTAGTGGATCGCGAACTGGCGCGCTACAAGGTCGACATCATCGCACTCAGCGAGACTTGGTTCTCCGAAGAAGGCCAACTGGAGGATGTGGGTGCCGGCTGCACCTGCTTCTGGAGCGGTCACCCCAAAGCCGAAAGATGAGACGCGGGTGCCGCACTCGTCATTTGGAACGACATCGCGGCACAACTGCCCTGTCTATCGCAAGGTATTAACGATCGCTTGATGGGCCTCCGCCTGCCTCTGCGGGATGGGGAGGAAAATTCGCCACCACCGTCAGCGACTGCGCTCCGCCGATGACCAACCCTGACGCGGCACCAAGGAACAAATTCCACGAGGACAACGACGACATCGCCATCAGCAACCTGCTCGCCGAGAAGAACAACCTACACAAAGCCTACGTCGACCACCCCACCCACGACAACGGAGCTGCCATCTGCGCAGTCGCCGCCTCCTACAACAGCAAATGCGCGAGATGCGGGATGCCTGGACAGCTTGAAAGGCTGAGCAGATCCAATGGTACGCGGACCCCAACGAATGGAAGAACTTCTTTTCCGCGATCAAAGAGGTCTGCGGTCCGTCTTCCAAAGGCACTTCTCTTCTCCTCAGCGCCGATGGCAGTACAATCCTGACTGAGAAGACACAAATTCTACAGCTATGGACCGAACGCTTCCGAGCCGTCCTCAATCGTCCCTCCACCATCTTCGACGCCGCCGCCTCTGCTACAGTCAATGAGGCATCTCCGGAGCGAACATCGCCGGGAAGATCTTCACCCGCATTCTCCTCAACCGTCTAAACAATCATCTGGAACAGGGCCTTCTACCAAATAGCCAGTGCAGCTTCCGTACTCATCGGGGGACCACGGATATGATCTTCGCCGCCCGTCAACTTCAGGAGAAGTGCCAGGGGATGCAGACCGACCTGTACTCTACCTTCATGGACCTGACGAAAGCCTTTGACACGGTGAATCGTGAAGGACTCTGAAAGATCATGCAGAAATTCGGCTGTCCGGATCGATTCATCGCGATGGTGCGTCAGCTGCACGACGGTATCGTGGCGCATGTCATGGACGAGGGTGCTGTCTCAGAGGCATTCGCAGTGACAAACGGAATGAAGCAGGGCTGTGTGCTGGCGCCTACCCTCTTCAGTCTCATGTTCTCTGCCATGCTGATGGACGCCTACCGCGACGAACGCCCCGGGATCCGCATCGCCTACATGACGGACGGTCACCTGCCGAATGAACGACGGATGCACTTCCAATCACGCGTATCCACAACCACCGTTCACGAACTCCTCTTCGCCGACGACTGCGCCCTGAACACCACCTCGGATAGGAGATGCAATGGAGCATGGACCTGTTCTCCGCCGCCTGCGAGAACTTCGATCTACTCATTAACACGCAGAAGACGGTGGTGATGCACCAGCCGCCACCCAACTCAGCCACAGCCCCCAACACGCCGCCGCAAATCAGCGTAAACGGAACCGAACTGCAAGTGGTGGAGAACTTCCCGTACCTAGGCAGCACTCTCTCCCGCAACACCTAGATCGACGACGAAGTCACCAACAGGATCTCGAAAGCCAGTCAAGCCTTCGGTCGCCTCCAAAGCACAGTTTGGAATCGCCACGGTCTTCAGCTGAACACGAAGCTGAAGATGTACAAGGCCGTCATCCTGCCGAAACTAATGTATGGAGCGGAGACTTGGACGGTGTATGCAAAGCAGGCACGCCGTCTGAACCACTCCCAACTCAGTTGTCTTCGTCGCATTCTGAGGCTGGACTGGCAGGATCGCATCCCCGACACGGAAGTACTGGAACGAACGGGAATCCTCAGCATCTACGCCATGCTGAGGCAAATGCAGCTGCGTCGGAGCAGCCACCTGGAGCGCATGAACAACGAGCGACTACCCAATCGGCTCTGCTTTGGAGACGTCGCGACTGGTTCTCGCCGCCAAGGAGGCCAAATTCGCCGTTACAAGGATACCCTGAAGTCCTCCCTGAAACGCCTGCAAATTAACCCCACCAACTGGGATGAGCTCGCAATCGATCGACCGACCTGGAGGAGGACAGTGAAGACAGGCGCTGCGATCTACGAAGCCAACCGCATCGCTGCCGCCAAAGCGAAACGCGAAACCCGCAAATCACAACTTCCACCAGTACACAACGCCGCCGCACAACCGCTTTCAACGTGTCCTCGACGTCAACGGACAATCCAGGCTCGAATCGGACTTGTTGGACATCCTCGGATTAACTGCGCCTCTCGAACTGCATCAACCATCGTCCCCCCGCCCGCCTCTTCCTCCTCCTCTCCGCCGCCAACTAACTCTGACAATTCTTCTCGCCAACCACTTCCATCCTCCTCCTCCTCCTCCTCCTCGCCCACGGCTCCAACGACGGCCGCTCAGGCGACTGTCCCGCGCGCAACAACCGACACCATCACCACCTCCCCCGACTCCAGCGATGAGGATCAGGACTACACCTGCCCTCACTGCGACCGCAGCTTCATCTCACACATCGGCCTGGTCGGTCACTACGGAATCCATCGCACAGAGACTGGCGAACCAGTGCCTGGAGCACCAACCTACACCCACCGCACTCGCCTCCACTGCCCACACTGCCCTCGCACCTTCAGGCATCGCATGGGCCTTTTCGGCTACATGCGCATCCACGAGAACGGCATTGACTGCATTCCCGACACACCCTCCACATCCAGCACATCCACCGTGCTCATCCCCACCCTCGCTCCATCCGTCTGCGCCACCACCACCACCACCACCGCCTCCTCTGTCGCTGACACTGACACCACCGAATTCTCATGCCCACACTGTCCACGCACCTCCACCTCACGCATCGGCTTGATCGGTCACTTGCGAATCCATCGCACAGAGACTGGCGAACCAGTGCCTGGAGCACCCACCTATACCCACCAAGCTCGTCTCAACTGCCCACTCTGCCCGCGCACTTTCAGTCTCGCACAGGCCTATTTGGCCATATGCGCATTATCGACGACCTGCGGTAAACAACCGCCGGCCACACCACACATTCTTTCACCCCTTACCTCCTCCTCCTCCACCACCCCCACCATCACCCCACCAGAAATCAACACTCGCACACCTCATGCACCCAACTGCCACCTCCCACGCAAGTGGGAAGTCCGCATCTCCACTCGGTCCCCATGAGGCTTCGGCTGCACGGGTGACTTGAGTCCGAAACTATCCGCTCCCTTGCGCGCGCAGTCGTGGTCAGTCGACCATGACAGCCACCGCGCCCATTTCCCACTCCAGTCTGCTGACCGGCTCGGACAGCGGCTGTGTGTGTATGTAGATGCTACGCAAGTCTACCGGCACTATATACCCCTGCGTAAGTCACCGTCCCTGCTCCCACCGCTGCAGCTGCAACTGTGGGGCACACGGTGGACATAATCGAAACCGATGGTCGAACTTTCAGTGTTAGTGTGTGTGTGCGTGTGTGTGTGTGTGCGTGTGTGTGTGTGTGCGTGTGTGTGTGTGTGACAGGGGGTTTAGGGGTGCCAGCGGTGGGTCCACGTGATGGTCGTAGTGGTCGCTCACTTGCTTGCAGGTGAGACTACGCCTAGCGTCCATTTGCTGGCACCTAACTCTCACCTGTGGCTCCACGTAGCTGGGCTCTGCTCAGCGGCCACACCCCGGGCAACCGTCTCGACCGGCGGGCTAAACCAGGTGAGGGTATCCGTGCGTGCCCCTGCACGCGCGGTACTTTGGTCTGCGCTGGCCGGATGGATCTTCGCGTCGACATCGTCGAGACGAGGCTCTGCCTGGACCATCGCAGGAGGCCACCAGGTAAGTCCCCCCTCAGGTAAGTGCGCTTGCTTTGTTTCTTCCTTTTGTTTGTTGAAGTTCCGCGTCGTACGCTGCGCTTGCT